GAATTCTAGGACAGGGACACCAAGGAACAATAAAGGATGACACTAAACCTTGTAAATCATGTTTAATGTAGATCAGTTTTCCATGAGAAAGAGTTTTGCTGTAAAACAGGCTGAGGGTTGTTGCTGACCTGTGTTGACAATTATTCTGTGTGTCTATGACAATTATTCAATAGAAATTAAGCATTAAGGATAATCAGAGCAGTCATGTAACTTGGGTGAGGCAACAGGGTCGCTGACTTTAGGAAAAAAATCTGCCATTGCAGCTACACAATCATGACATAGGTTCGGAAGCAACCAGAAGTCACCACTGCCCTTGTGTGATAGCTGCCCTGGGTGCCTGGCCACATCGTTACACCTCTGAATCAGAGCAGAGCATATAAAGTCAGACTGAGATTATTAAATTTGCTTCTCATTGGGTGGGCCTAATGTATATGGCTGTCCATCAGCCCTATCATTCCTATATATAATTAGAAATCTATAGAGTTGTTTGATAGCCATGGCACCACCAGGTCTGCATTTCCCAGCAGCTTTAAAGGTGACTAGAGCGAGTCATTTCTATCTTCTCTTCTGTGTCAGATCTTCCAGCTCTACCCCTTTGTTAAAAAGTCCATGAATCATATTGGATGGTGCCAAGGAAAAGTAACGTGATCTGTGTGTAATACATTCTGTAATGCGCTGAAAAGAGCTACTACAGGAAAGCGCTACTGTAACACAATCTGCTTTTGAAAGAAGGCCAAGCAAGGCTAAGGTTGAATGAGAGGCAAGACACTAGAATCTTGCTGGTTTAGGATGCTGACATTTAAATTAGCCACCACATATCAAAACCCAAGTATTCGCTGTCAGGTTTAGGTGCAGTGATTGCAATGGGGGAAGGGTATACTGTTTTTTTCTTCATCACCATTATTTTAACCACAATTTTCATTGGTAACTAATTTTGAAGAACTTGCAGTTGAGTTCAAAGGAAGCTGAGGGTTACAACTTCTTGCAAAACACCATTTGCAGAAATGGCTGTTTCCTTCTGAGTTCTCCAGAATCTAATTAACTTCCCACCTTTCTAGAATTTCATGAACTTTCTCATCATCCCCAATGCAGGTTTTTTGTGGTTTTTTGTTTGGTTTTTTTTTTGGTGTCAGTGCAGCAAGACTGCTGGAAGCAAAGTCAGCCCTTCACTCCATTTTTATTGGTCAGGTGATGCACTCACGCCCTAACAGCAGGTCTTTTGCCTTCATATGTGTCTTAGCTATTACTTAGGTTCACGCACTGGTCACCTCCATGGGTGATCTCATTTCAACCTCCACACTTCATTTCCTGCTCAGCTCATGCTGACATTATATTAGTCAAATAATCCTTTGAACCATTACATGTTTGTCACTTTACATCTTTTCTTGTATTTGCGGTGAATGAATTGTGTAGTTCCTATTTCCTTCTACACGATTCTTATTCGGTCCACAGAGGGGCATCTGCCCTTCCCTCCATGCTTCCTGTACTCCTGCACAGTATGTTTTTCTTTGCATTGACTACCTCACCTGTCACTCACAGCCGCCCTAGAATTTCTCTCTCTCTCTGTCTTTCCCCTGCAGACAAAAATCTCAGTGTCTTATCATCTTAAGTAGCTCTTTTGAGAGAAGTGCTTTTCCTTCTGAGTATCTCCTTTTACAACCTTCATGTCATTTTAGAGGTGAATCTTTGGAAGATAGCCTGTTTTGTTTGCTGTTTTTATTTGCCTTATAAACATCCCATATGTGATCCCATTGCATCTATCTTGTCAAAATACTCCCACTGTGCAATAAAGCTCTCTCTCATCTCTCTCCCCAGGGCCTTTTATTTGAGAGGGGTATAGAATGTACAGCAATTAGCCACTGGGCATCTGTCTGTTTTTCAGAGTTGTACCTTGCTCATTATTGTTGCCTTTAAACTTACATCTGGCTTGTATACAGCTGTTAAAGCTAAGCAAGGAACCATTAAGGCTAAAACATTTAATGATTTATATTAAATAACTTAAGTAAAGTACTGCTTTTAGATTAATTTATATTTACACATGCAAATGAATGCTTATTATGCTAATATTGCAAAGGTGGCACTTCCTGTGCCAAGTGTGGGTTGCTTACAGGTTTTTTTTAAGTTGCTTATTTAAGGTTAGCTCATGAATATAGGTGAGAGATTACTTATGTAATTGCCTTCACAATCTGGTCCTTTGTGAATAAGCTCTTGGATTGATAGTTACATATTTGTAAAAGCTTAGAATATTTTGACACAACAGCTCTCCCAGCCATCACTGGAAGCACTTGTATTAACCAACCACAGTCCTTCTAGCACAGGCAGAATATGGTATAGCTGATTTCAAAACCACAGCACTGAGATTACAGACTGAGTTTTAGTTTCCACTTCACTTCCGGTAGGAGTTTAGTAGTCTATTTTATGAACTGATAGAGCTGGAGACTGATGTTTGAGGTCATTTGAAATTCAGGGTTCCAAAGACAAGGTCACTGATTTCTGGTGCAAACAGTTCTTGATATATAAGTGACCAAAATCATGTTAGAACTCACATGGAAAAAGAATGCCAGCTAGATTAGAGTAATGAGAATTATTTCAATTTAAGGTTCAATATCTCAACACCCCTCGGGGCTAGACAATATGTTTATAATGTTTGTAAATCATTACAAATTATTTTTCTAACTTTGTTGATTTGCAAGTTAGGAATTTCACAATGTAAGTGGGCCCTAAGTCTAGAACAGAACTTATGACAGACCTCAAATTTGTCCAGCTTTTCTGTCCCTGTCCTGTAACACCATTGAAAACATATTAAATACAGTCAGGTAGTACATGATCAGTAAATTATTCTGTTCAGTGCCCCAATCTCAGGGTGCCTATGCACAAGCGCAGAGGCTGCTCCGATGGGCTGGAATTCCAGCACATCAGAGCAGACTTGATTAATTGAGTCTGCTGGAGCATGGCACTTGCCACACTCCAGCAGCCTCCTGCATCTTGTGCATCAGTGTCCCCATGCTTAAACATGGTGGTGGGGTATTTTATTTTAGTTCAAGTGTCCCAGCCACCATTTTGAAGTGTATGGATGCTGATACAGGAGATGCAGCAGTGCTTTAATCAGAGCAGCTCTGAGAGTCATTCTATTTAAAGGTCTGCCCTTCCCCCCCACCACCTCTGGAGCAGATGTAAAAGTGCCTTCAAAGGCTAAGTACAGACAGTCAAAAAGTCCAAGGCTGAAATGATTCAATCTTCGCAAGTTAGTCTAAAGTGTGTAGAGTGAACCAATAAGCAAGTGAACAGACATTCACTTTTGATTCTGGAAATGCAGCCACATGCCTGCAGTGACCCAGCCCAGAAGCCAGGGTGCGCTAGAGCACACCTCCCTGGGAGCAGATAGCTTGGGCCAAGGCTACCTCACCCACCCCAAAAGGGGAAGTTTGAAGGGGAGGTGCAAAGCATCCTGGGATGCTAGAGGACTGAGTTAACTTGAATCTGGAGGGGCATTAACTTGAATCTCAGATAGAAGTTCAATAAACTAATTTAACTTAAGTAAGTTAAGTGTGATACTACCTCCATCCAGGTTTATCCTAAACTGATTTTAGCCATTTTGAAAGGAGTGTACTGAACTTCTGTTGTGTTACAAATTTGAATCAGTTTCCAATTACTTATACCAGTTTGTGTGTAATTTCTGTCCCTAGCCAAAGACTGCAATGAACTAAAGAAATCCAGGAGACCTAATGCCAGACCTAACTTCAGAAAATACTTAAAAACATAAGCCTGACTCCCATGTCGCACAAAAGCAATGAAAAATGAAAGGGAGTCAGGACCCATCTTCTGTTTTTAAGGTAAGGCCATGGAGCAATAAAGTGGGGTGGCTTTTCAGTTGACAGAAAAATGTTAATGCTCCATTGCCTTAGTAGACATGCATGTGGATGATGATGATTCTTTCCTGCAGCTAATGATATACGTTAATAATAAACAAATCAAATAAAAACTGATTATTTTAAATTGCTATGAAACAAGCTGTCTTTTCTGATAATATGTTGGATTCTGAAATGTATGGAAACTGAGTCACGGTAGTGCCAGTGTCCCCATTAGCATTACTTTAATATAATGTGATGTTTCCCTTTCCATAATCAAACACCTACACATTCAAGGCTCCTATTTTTCCCTAGTCTGTGGCTAGAGAAAAAGATGTGGGAACAAAGATCTACTTTGAGTAGATGGCAACCTGTAACACTTCAGTCCCCAAAGCAAAGCTGGTTTTAGTATTTCGGCATGGGCCTGGAAACAGTTTTTACTACTTTCTTATAACTGGCCAGCAGCAGCAGCATTTTATACAGAGGACCAGCCTGAAGACTTGGGAAAAGTTAATAAAACAAACATTTGGGATACATCATTCATTCTACATAGAAAGGGAACAGGAGAAGGAAGGGCCAGAATCTGTTCACACTCAGGGTAGTATTTCACCAGTATAAGTCTAATGACTGTAATGGGGCCAAGTCCTGATTTACACATCTGCTGGCTGAAGGTAAGAGAATCTGATTTTATGTCTGTTCAGTAAAAAATGGTAGAAGAAGAGTAGGGCAAAAGAGGGAGGAAGATATTTATCTGAAGCTGATGGACATGGAAAAATTATGGATTTAAATTTTTAATACATTTCCATTAAATCCTATTTCAAACAGAAGTTGGATGCCTATTCAGAGAATAAAAGGTTCATTTTTAAAATAAATGTTTTCACTGGAGACATAGTAAGTGAAAGTTGTTGGAATTTTGTAGCAATTGGGTCCAATTCAGCACAGCACTTAAACATAAGACTTACAGTACTTAAACAGGGACTTAGGTGCTTTACATTGAAACATTTTTTCTTTTAATATTAGGGCCAAACCCTGCAGTGTGATGTATGTAGGCAGACTCAGGAGGAGCCATTAGTATAGGCCCACATTGTGAGGTAAAAGCTCATGATTCTCTCTGCAAATGCATACTTCCTAACATATGCTACTGTTTCCTAGAAGAAAAGATGTCTGCTAGTAGGACACCTTCCTTTCATGCTGGACAGGTTACACGCAGTAGGTCAGAAGGAGATTTGATTGACTTTGGTGATGGAAAACCTTCAGCAAGAACCAATTTGCCAGGTGTGTTGTTTTTGTGTGTGTGTTTTAATTAAAGCTTATTGGTGCAGTCTTTATTCAGGCAAAGCTCCCATTGACCTCAACCTACAAGCAAGGACAACTCTGTCCAGAAATATATGCCTTTAAACCATGTGTGGGAAACATGTGGCCTGCAGGCCAGATGTGGCCCACCAGGCCATTCTATCCGGCCTGCATGGCCCCTAAAAAAATTTAGAAAATTTATATTTATCTGCCCCTGGTTTCCTGTCACGCAGCCCACGATGGCTTGGCAAAACTCAGTAAGCGGCCCTCCACCCAAAATAATTGCCCACCCCTGCTTTAAATATTATGGACTGGATTGGTTTTTGTATTACATTTCCTTTGTACTACATGGACAGCAAAGAGGTGCAAGATTTCAGTTTCAGTTACCCTACAAAATGCCATGTCACAGGAAAACTCTTCTGGGTATTATTGCAGCAGATCCTGGTCCATACAACTGCTCTTAGCAGAATGTCAGGGAGAGAGAGAGAGAAGGAACCATTAGAAATTCTTTGGCAAAGGTGCCATATGTTTTAGCTTGGGCTGACTAGTTGAAGTTAGCTAACTTAGGGTTAAAATAGCAGTAAAGGCCAGATAAATCGAGCTATTGCTTGGGTTTATCTTAAGGCTGCCATATAGGCTTGAACTCAAGTTGCTAACCCATGTTAACTTAAATTTGTTGCTATTTTAATCATAGTTAAAAATTCCATCCTCTTCTGCAGTGTAGACATTCCCATCATTTTAGATCCTTAAATTTGTTTATGAACTCTAGCAAGGGGCATCCTCAATCCATAACAAATAGATGTATTATAATTGCTTGTAAGCAATAAATATCTACTAGCAGTGGTAGGTACCACTGGAGTTAGAGTTTTCTGACAGAATCAGGGAGTAGTAATTGGCTCTGTACTGATCTATCTAAACCTATCCCTCTCCTGTGCTGAAAGAAGCTGACATAGGAAAGAATCTGCTCTACTACTAGAGCAGAGCTTTAGGGAATTTTCCATCTGCAGCATGTTTCTGTTGGAACATGCCATTTATGCAAAAATCTATTTTTTTCATGGGAAATGTTCAGTTTTGCTAGAAAACCAAAAATAAATCTCCACTGTCATGCAAATAAATAAGGCAGAAGGCCCCTTATTTATTTGCATGAGAACTGCAAATCTTTTCCAACATTTTGCCACCAGAAACTAGAGTGAAGCCATTACCTGAACACCTGACAAAGTATGGGCATGTCTACATGTGAAATTAGTGCATGTGAATAAACTCTGGACTTTATTGCTCCAGTTTTTTGCTCCTGGGATTGCTGTTTGGACATGCACCCAGGAGCAAATAACTCCAGAGCAAGTAGGTCCAGAGTTTATTCATGCACAGCTCCTGGAGCCCAGTCAGAGCAGCCCTGGCTGGCAGGGGATGCTGAGGGTCAGCCTGCCAGCCCAGTGCTGCTCTCATTGGGCTCAGTGTGCTGCAGAGGAGTGAGCTGGGGCATGAGGGTGTTTCAATGCGGGGCTAACCAGCTGGCAACTCCAGCATTGAAGCACCCTTGTGCCCCAGCCAGCCTGTCAGCATCTACATGTCCACTGCTGCATACACAAAGAACAACTCTGCAGGATGGTAGGGCTTATATTTACAAGTCCTACCTTGCTGTAGAGTTTATTAGTTTTGTATGCCCTAATAGGGGTGCACATGTACACACTGAGATGTTTACTGAGCAGTTTAGTCAACTGTGCAGTAAATGTCTCGTGTAGACACACCCCATAAGCACTAAATGACAGCTGTAGTTCTGTGTTGTAACATCGTCTGTGCTTCCCCATCTTGCACTGTCTTATAGATGAGACTGAATGTGGACTGTCTATACCCATATAGTATAGATATGGGTTCCCCACTCAGGTGTGCTCTATTCTTCAACTAATCACAACTTTGAAGAGAAATATGTTTTCAGTTTGTTCCTTTAGAAATGTGGGTGCAGTCATTACATAATTAAGTTATTTTTCAAAATATTGACGCTCTATCAGGAGGTTCAGCCATTACATGAGCATGGCTAATATGTGCATAGATACAGCATAACCTGTAACAACTTTGGAGACTAAGCACAGCACTATCTGCCAAAAAAAAAAAAAAAAAGGCACAGAGAGACTATTTTTCTGTCTCTTCCAGGAGCCAGGCTGCAAGACTGTTATCAAGACAAGTTAAGAATCTTCTTGCTAGGCAGCTGGGAAGCTGAAAATATCCCAATAAGTATTTTTTTCTGCAACTCTTTTCCTGTTAACACGTTTTATTTCTTGTCCTGATTAGTGACAAAAGTGAAATAAAAAATAAAAATCATGTTTATAGTAAAGGGTTTCCAATTTCAGATTTCAAGAATTACTTGAATTGTAGGTACAGAGGTCCAAATAGTGAAGGGATAATAATAAAGAGCCATGGGCATTTGGGGAAAGAAAACAGATTACCCCCTCCCTCTAAAGAGCCAGCTCAGTTTGGGGGTTTTGATCGGTTTATTAAACCTAGCTAAAATGGATACTTTTTTTTTTTTTTTTTTTTTTTTTTTACACAGGGTATGGAGGAAGTAGAGGAGGTGGAACCTCCCCTTCTCCTGTCCCTGCTGTTATTCTAGGCATGCAAAAATCATGTATGTAATAATCCAAGTTGAAGGTACTCACGGTATGTTTACACCAGGGGTGGGCAATATAGAGCCCACGGGCCAGACGGATCCAGCCCACCAGGCAATTTTATCCGGCCCGTGGGACCCCTAAAAAATATTTATCTGCTCCTGGCTGCCTGTCAAAGACGATAGGAGCCAGGGGTAGTAGGACCCAGGGGGAGCTGTCAGCAGGAGGCAGAAGCCCTTCCCCACCCATTCCCAGCCATTTCCCTGCTTCCTTCCCCCACTTTGCTACAGCACCACATGGCTCCTGGTTGCATGACTAGATGGGGAGCATGGGGCCCTGGCGCTACAGCAGGGTGTGTGTATGTGTGTGGGTGTTTGTGCATGTGTGTGCATAGGGGCAGTGTGTGCTTGCAGGCAGGGGCAGAGTGTGTGTGCATATATATATTATATATGTGTGTGTTCTTCTTAGGACAATGCCCATATGCATCCCCCACCATACACATGCACCCACACCACCCTTCGCACTGCCATACACACAGGCCCCCAAACACCCCCACCACCCTCCCCCTACACATTTCTCCCCACAAACCCCATTCCCACCCACACCTCACATATCCAGACACACACCCACATGCTCCTTCACCCCACATACCCACACATCCATAACCCCCCCCCCCCCAACCC